CCGCGTCCTGCGCCGGGCGAGGGGTCCCTGTATAACCCGCCCCCCACCCGAGGGGCCGCGTCTTTGAAATCTCAGCTGTTCTGGGCCGCAGGGCTAGTTCCCTGCGCGGTAATTTCAGACGGGGGCTGGCGCGGGAGTCGCAGCACCCGGGGTTCGCCGCCAGGGGGCGCTCACGCCGCGGGTGGGGGAGGGGCGCAGACTCCATTGCTGGCTCAGACCCCCCCCCCCCCGGGGGAATCGGGCCTGGCACGCGGGGGCGACCCTTGGGTGCCCACACTGGGCCTGGGGTGCGTCCCCAGGGGACTCGGAGGGCTAGAGGTGGGGGGCTGGACAGGATGCAGGGGGTGCAGTGAGGGGCTGGGTGCAATCAGTGGGGGTTTAGGGGGGCTAGGGGATGGAGTGGGGGGCTGGGGGTGCAGTGAGTGGGTTTGCAGTGGAGTTGGAGGGTGGGGGTACAGTGGGATTGGGGGGCTGGATGTGGTGCAGGGGGACTAGGAAATAAAGTGGGGAGCTGGGGATACAGTCAGTGGGGGTACAGGGTTGGAGTGCAGCAGGGGACTGGGGGGTGCAGTCAGAGGGGGTGCAGGAAGGTTTGGGGGCTGGGCGATGTAGTGGGGGGCTGGGGGTGGTTCAGGGGGCTCCGGGGCAGGGGAAGCTGGGGGGCAGTGGGGTGCAGTCAGGGAGCAGTGCGGGGAAGCTGGGGTGTGCAGTCAGAAGTGGGTGCAAGGGGGAGGTTCAGAGGGTTGGGGGTGCAGGGGTCTGGGGGCGGTGCAGGGAGGTTGGGGTGGTGCAGGGGGGTGGGGGATGTTGCGGGTGCTGGGGCAGTGCGGGAATCTGGGGGGAGCTGGGGACGGTGCGGGGAGCAGTGGGGAACTGGGGGGTGCAGTCAGAGCGTGGTGCGGGGGGGTGGGAGATGTTGGGGGCGGTGCCAGGCGGCTGGGGGCGCAGTGGGGGGACTGGGGGCGGTGCGGGAAGCTGGGGGGAGCACTCATAGAGGGGATCTGGGGTGCAGGGGGGGCTGGGGGGCACAGGGGGGGAGCTGGGGTGCAGGGGGATGTTGGGGGCGGTGCAGGGGGCACAGTGTGGGAGCTGGGGAGCAGGGGACGCAGTGTGGGAGCTGGGGTGCAGGGGGGCTGGGGGATGTTGGGGGCGGTGCAGGGGGTGCAGTGTGGGGAGCGTGGGGTGCA